TACGTTCAATCCATACATAGGTCACTACGTTCAATCCATACATAGGTCACTACGTTCAATCCATACATAGGTCACTACGTTCAATCCATACATAGGTCACTACGTTCAATCCATACATAGGTCACTACGTTCAATCCATACATAGGTCACTACGTTCAATCCATACATAGGTCACTACGTTCAATCCATACATAGGTCACTACGTTCAATCCATACATAGGTCACTACGTTCAATCCATACATAGGTCACTACGTTCAATCCATACATAGGTCACTACGTTCAATCCATACATAGGTCACTACGTTCAATCCATACATAGGTCACTACGTTCAATCCATACATAGGTCACTACGTTCAATCCATACATAGGTCACTACGTTCAATCCATACATAGGTCACTACGTTCAATCCATACATAGGTCACTACGTTCAATCCATACATAGGTCACTACGTTCAATCCATACATAGGTCACTACGTTCAATCCATACATAGGTCACTACGTTCAATCCATACATAGGTCACTACGTTCAATCCATACATAGGTCACTACGTTCAATCCATACATAGGTCACTACGTTCAATCCATACATAGGTCACTACGTTCAATCCATACATAGGTCACTACGTTCAATCCATACATAGGTCACTACGTTCAATCCATACATAGGTCACTACGTTCAATCCATACATAGGTCACTACGTTCAATCCATACATAGGTCACTACGTTCAATCCATACATAGGTCACTACGTTCAATCCATACATAGGTCACTACGTTCAATCCATACATAGGTCACTACGTTCAATCCATACATAGGTCACTACGTTCAATCCATACATAGGTCACTACGTTCAATCCATACATAGGTCACTACGTTCAATCCATACATAGGTCACTACGTTCAATCCATACATAGGTCACTACGTTCAATCCATACATAGGTCACTACGTTCAATCCATACATAGGTCACTACGTTCAATCCATACATAGGTCACTACGTTCAATCCATACATAGGTCACTACGTTCAATCCATACATAGGTCACTACGTTCAATCCATACATAGGTCACTACGTTCAATCCATACATAGGTCACTACGTTCAATCCATACATAGGTCACTACGTTCAATCCATACATAGGTCACTACGTTCAATCCATACATAGGTCACTACGTTCAATCCATACATAGGTCACTACGTTCAATCCATACATAGGTCACTACGTTCAATCCATACATAGGTCACTACGTTCAATCCATACATAGGTCACTACGTTCAATCCATACATAGGTCACTACGTTCAATCCATACATAGGTCACTACGTTCAATCCATACATAGGTCACTACGTTCAATCCATACATAGGTCACTACGTTCAATCCATACATAGGTCACTACGTTCAATCCATACATAGGTCACTACGTTCAATCCATACATAGGTCACTACGTTCAATCCATACATAGGTCACTACGTTCAATCCATACATAGGTCACTACGTTCAATCCATACATAGGTCACTACGTTCAATCCATACATAGGTCACTACGTTCAATCCATACATAGGTCACTACGTTCAATCCATACATAGGTCACTACGTTCAATCCATACATAGGTCACTACGTTCAATCCATACATAGGTCACTACGTTCAATCCATACATAGGTCACTACGTTCAATCCATACATAGGTCACTACGTTCAATCCATACATAGGTCACTACGTTCAATCCATACATAGGTCACTACGTTCAATCCATACATAGGTCACTACGTTCAATCCATACATAGGTCACTACGTTCAATCCATACATAGGTCACTACGTTCAATCCATACATAGGTCACTACGTTCAATCCATACATAGGTCACTACGTTCAATCCATACATAGGTCACTACGTTCAATCCATACATAGGTCACTACGTTCAATCCATACATAGGTCACTACGTTCAATCCATACATAGGTCACTACGTTCAATCCATACATAGGTCACTACGTTCAATCCATACATAGGTCACTACGTTCAATCCATACATAGGTCACTACGTTCAATCCATACATAGGTCACTACGTTCAATCCATACATAGGTCACTACGTTCAATCCATACATAGGTCACTACGTTCAATCCATACATAGGTCACTACGTTCAATCCATACATAGGTCACTACGTTCAATCCATACATAGGTCACTACGTTCAATCCATACATAGGTCACTACGTTCAATCCATACATAGGTCACTACGTTCAATCCATACATAGGTCACTACGTTCAATCCATACATAGGTCACTACGTTCAATCCATACATAGGTCACTACGTTCAATCCATACATAGGTCACTACGTTCAATCCATACATAGGTCACTACGTTCAATCCATACATAGGTCACTACGTTCAATCCATACATAGGTCACTACGTTCAATCCATACATAGGTCACTACGTTCAATCCATACATAGGTCACTACGTTCAATCCATACATAGGTCACTACGTTCAATCCATACATAGGTCACTACGTTCAATCCATACATAGGTCACTACGTTCAATCCATACATAGGTCACTACGTTCAATCCATACATAGGTCACTACGTTCAATCCATACATAGGTCACTACGTTCAATCCATACATAGGTCACTACGTTCAATCCATACATAGGTTCCTATATTCAATCCATACATAGGTTCCTATAGTCAATCCATACATAGGTTCCTATATTTAATCCATACATAAATTCCTATATTCAATCCATACATAGGTTCCTATATTCAATCCATACATAGGCTCCTATGTTCAATCCATACATAAGTTCCTATATTCAATCCATACATAGGTTTCTATATTTAATCCATACATAGGTCCCTATATTCAATCCATTCATAGGCTCCTATGTTCAATCCATACATAAGTTCCTATGTTCAATCCATACATAAGTTCCTATATTCAATCCATACATAGGTTCCTACATTTAAGCCATACAAAGATTTCTATATTCAATCCATACATAGGTTGCTATATTCAATCCATACATAGGTTCCTACGTTCAATCCATACATAGGTTTCTACGTTCAATCAATCCATACATAGGCTCACATGTTCAATCCATACATAGGCTCACATGTTCAATCCATACATAGCTTCCTATGGCACCCCTACATGTGACATTACAAGAAGACCCCCAGATCTTATTGGTGTGGCTGGATACATAGTAGCGCCGTACCGTAGTCTTATTTTAGGACATAATCTGCATTCTCATTGCTAAAATTAGAAACTCTAAAACCTGAAATCTCAGTCACAGGGCATAGTGTTGATTGACATGTATTCCTTTTCTTGTGTTTGGAGTGCTGGTTCGGTACATTTATGTTTTTCGATACAATAACAGAACTCTCATAAACATCGAAAAAAATATGGTTTTGGGGATTGTACAGCTGACACAATTCAGTATTTGTAACAGAGTATTTGTTCTGCAATATTCTTGAATGTTCTACTACCTGTACCAACTACACCTTTTCTTTTTACCAATGCAACTATGTTATTTCCAGTTACACATTTTTAAAGTTACACATACTCTGCTGGTTTTCAGGTTTAAATTTTTATCTACGAGTTCAGTTTGTAAAAATAAAAAGGACATTTTCCTTTGTCCAGTGTCCACTTTGTAAAGTAATCTGTATGGTAAAGTAAAACAACTGGATGGGTGATGATTTCACATTCTGTACACTTCATATACTATTAGGGCTTTTTTGTGTTTGTTTTGTCACCGTTCAAATCATCTATGAGAGCATCTTAAAACTGTAATTAATTGAGTACAATAAGTATAGTAAGTAAATATTTGTTGTGAATTATTTATAAATATGTATTTATATTATAATATTATAAAGTGATCTTAAGTTTCAATAATACATTCGCTGCAATGCAAATTACAAAGACATTTTTTATTTTACGTGCTTATTTTTTGAATCACTTAACAATGACTTTGATTATATGAATTGTAACAGGAAATGATGGAATTTTACAAGAAGTGATATTATATGCTGTTGAACACAGATCTGCTTTGGACTGAATTCTTAAATACAGCAGTGGAAAAATGAAGGTGAGATTCTGTGACGTTCTTCCGTCTGAATGATCAGATTTTGTTTTTGTTACTTTAGATTGTATGGACATTACAAAATAAGTGCACACAATCTCACTCTCTCTATATATAGAGGGAAATGAGTTCCAAATGAGCCTGAACCTTCCTATCAGGTATTTGTCTCATCAGAGGAGATAGAATTGATGCTGATGAGTTGAAACATGTGCAGTCATCTTGGCTGTAGCCTATGGTACCTCAATAAAACAGATGCTCATCCTATATATTAATAGATGAAAATATTTTCTGGTACCTCTCGTTTATCATGGTGCCCCAGTGTGACCTCGGGCCTATTTTGTGAACCTATTTATCGCCATAGAAAGCCATTAGGATTGGCAATTCCTGGCATTCCTCTGAATCATTGGTTAAAATGCCACAGCTTTTTTTACAGGCTAGAATAGCATCAGCTTTTCCCCCTGAGCTCTTTCGAGAAAACATATTCCAGCCAACTGCGGCTGAACGTCTAAAAGGTGGCTACCGTGCCAAGGTGTAAATTAAGTCGCCAAGGTGTATCTGATACAAGGATGATAAAAATAGAATATGGCTTTGTTTGAAGTCTTACATTGACCATGCACTATACCATTTGATTTTACAATCTCTGTATAGTCTCCTTAAGGCTTATTATACACCGTACAATCAACTTTAGATTTACCAAATCTATTTATTATGAGGGCCAGCCTAAACAATCCATTTAGGTAGTATCAATTCACGCACCCCCTTGTACTACATAGTTGATGGTAGAGCTAAAGTAAATTGTATATCGTGTGGTCTGCCTTATTTTCTTTTTATTGTATCTACAAGGGTCATGTCTGCTGCGGTCACCCCTATTGAGGTTTCCCATGTGGTTATAAATGTCTCTTACCTTCAAAGAAGCGTTGTAAAGCCTCCGTCTCATCCACAACTTCCATGGCTTTATCCAAGAGGTACCCAAAGTCCTAGGGCTGTGCAGTCCTGGCTGCCATAAGGTTACAGACCATGAGTCTTTCCAATAGGGTGTGAATTGGTAGCGTGACAGTCAGTTACACAGTTCACACTGGAGAACACGGCTGTACTCTGCCAGCCAAAGAAAAAGATCAATGCAGCAGTCCAGCTTTAACCAGATCCTCAGCTTCTAAGTCCAGCGCTTTCCTTCTGATCCCAAACTTTTCCTCATTAACTCACTCTCTGGGAAATGTCTGAATTAGAGTAGCAGATCATTCAACATGACTTTCTTTAGCTTCCTTTCTAAGAGACCTAAAGCTCTCCCCTCTTGCCTTTCTCTGGGTAGTGTCAGGGTTAGTATAGCAGCTTGTCTCCCTTGAGCTCCTTCCCTGGGGAGGATGCTTCTCCCAAAGTTTCTCTGCCACCACCTAGTGGCTAAACAGTAATTCTATATCAAATGTACATATTAGATACTCAGCATCATCTACCAAGTTAAAATTGCATAAAAAAAGGTAAAGATAAAAAAAGGACTTGCTTCTTACTAACTCAAGATACAAATTAGATAGAGCCAGATTCTTGCTATGATTCATGTGAACCATGGACATTACCAATCATGTGGTTTTATTGTAAAATGTAATACAATTCTCATTTTTTATACACTGCCTGGCCAAAAATGAAGATATACTTTAAACACCAAATGAATACTGAATTAATTGTGAATGAGGGATGGAGGCAAGTTACAAGTACATTTATTAAATGACATGCAAACAAGCAGATTGCAGTTTTAAAGTTTTCTAATGACCAAATAGGTTAAAATGGACTTTACAGTATAATGCAAGGTCCACTGCAGGGTTAGCTTTTTTTCGTATTATCGGACTTTGGCTTTAACACTCATTTATAGATTGTTTACATTAAGCTGATCATTCACCTATAAATCTATATATCTGTTTACAGACTAACAGGGTTATTCACGGCTGTCTTCGGCTGCCGGAGCCATTCGGTTCAGTCAAACCAAAGGGCTGCTGTACGGGCTATTAACAATAGGCCATACAGCAGCCAAAAGGTGGCTGAGCGGTGCAGCCGAGCCGGAGGCATATGCTTTCGCTCTACTGAGCCGTAGTGACAGCCGAAGCGGGGTGATCTCACGGCTGGCTCCGCCCAGTTGTAATGACAGATCAGCGTCCCCAAATGACCTGGGTATGCTGATCTGTCATTAAACAAAAACAAATGGGCGGCTCTGCCCAGTTGTTATTCATTGGCTGGGACCTGCTAGAAAACTCAGCAGGTGTCGGCCAAAGCCGAGCCGAGCCGAAAGCCTATGAGAATAGGGGCGAACAGCAGCAAGTGAGCTGCCGGAGCTTCAGCTCAGCCGATCCAGATGTTGGCTCAGAGTCAAAGTCCTTCTGCACTTCGGCTCAGCCCAACATGCAGAGTATTTTCGGCTGACCGAAGGCGACCGTACAGAGCTGATGTACGGCTGATTTCAGCCGATGTAGGGCTGAAATCAGCCGTACAAGCCAGAAGTGAAAAGCGGAACAGCGTTCAGCTCACTTCACTTCGGTTGGGTTATTCACTCGAATGCCTTTGGCAGCTTAGTGAATAACCCTCTAAATTTCTTTTCACAGTTTTCTTTTCACAATTTTTACTTTTCACTTATAAAAAGTATAACGTGACAAATCTGTACCTTTGTATTGAATAAAAACAAACACAGTAAAAGCAGGAATTCTCTTATAATAATCTGTCACCAAGTGAACCATGGAAGGTGCCACTGCTGACCTCTTCTAGTTGCCTAATTATCATGCTGATCTTTTATCTTTACTACTCTCTGAATTCCTGACCTGGAACACACATACAAAGTTCCAGGATTCCTCCAACTTTTAATTGTTGCTTGTTTTAGGTCTGTGACTCAGGATCATGAAGCCAGGCACAACCAGGCAACTAGCATTTTCAGAAGGAGACCCGCCCCATATTTCCGATGACAGGTGTACTGTAGGAAAACAGATATAGTAATATAATTATTAAGAGAAAAGGAACAAACATCCAGCCAGTTCCCTATTCCTATAAATACCAGTGCAGCTTGTTCAGTGAAGTATTTCCCAATTTAGTAAAATGGTTAGCGGTGATGCTACTATAAATTTAAACGACATTTTCAGGAGAAAAACATGGAGGCAGTCATTTTTTAGCACTCCTTCTGAAGATGCAGGGTCACTTCAATACTTTGATGGCCCATTTACACCAATACACCACATGTGCATTAATGTGCCTTATGCCACATGTTAACATATATTACATTAAAGTGACTCTAAACTCAGCAGTTAAATCTTAAAAATTCAAGGACCCTAACTATTAACAAAAATGTATCTTATTTGTGTATCACTCAGCTATTGATCCTCCAATCATCTCTGAATTGGTGCTGACACTGTCCTTCCTTCTGGAGTGTGGCTACTTTTGTTCCCCATGGTCCCTGTGTGTGTTGTAAAGTAGCCACCACTTCAAGCTCGCTCCTGTGATGGACCACAATCTCACATTTAGTTTACTAATTTGTATTGAGATTATAGTCCATCACAGGAGCGATCTTGAAGCTGTGGCTACCTTACAACACACACAGGGACTATGAGGAACACAAGTAGCCCCCCTCCAGAAGGAAGGACAGTGTCAGCACCAATTCAGAGATGATTTGAAGATCTACAGCTGAGTGATACACAAATAAGATACATTTTTGTTAACAGTTAAGATACTTGAATGTATTTTTAAGATTTAACTCCTGAGTTAAGTGTCACTTTAAGGCATCCTATTTATATGAATGGGCTGTCTAACACACCAAAATGGCAAAGAAGAAGAAAGATCACATATAATACATACATATATATAAAACAACCAGCTAGACAGATGTCTCCCTATGAACTCACTCCATTGTGGAACCACCCATAATTGATAACATGATTGATTGATACAAGATTAATTCAAAAGTGGAGGGGCATCATCAAATGCCTACTCCACTGAAGGACAACCCGGCCAGAAATGATTTGGGTTAACACACCAAAATGCAACCAAAAAAGGTGTAAGTATAATTTTTGGCCGACCATTGCAGTGCACATTCCTTGGCAGGGTGCATTCAGAATGGCACCAGATTGCATCAACTGCTCTGCCCCATTCTCATCTGAGCAATTTGAAGTGCGTTTTGAAGCTCCAGCAGAAGCAATTCAATCCTCGATACTAGGATTTCCAATTTCCATCATGTTCATTGGTTCCTATTCACACTTGAGCATATTGCCACTTGAAGCCTGCTCAAAAAAGTACAGGCGCTTCTTTTGGGGCAGAGGCCCAATGGGCTTCCTTAGACAGGTCTCCTCCTCGCTGCAGTGACTATGTCCCTCGGCGTCCTCACGTCCAATAAACTGTGTATAAGACATGATGACTCGCGGGACCTTAGACCACTGGACCAGAGAGTGAGCGAGGTGGACGGGACCGGTATAAAAGAAAACTGTGTCTTGGGATTGGGCGAGTATAACTTTGTTATTTTTGATCCTAGACAAAAACCAGAACTTAACCCTTGCAGCGTGGGGGTAGTTCCAATACAAGATAAAAAAAAGTCCCTGGACTACTGCTTTAGGGTTGGTAAGCTGCATTATATTGCATTCTTCTGAGTTTAGACACACTTTAACTTACTATAGCTATTAGTTCTGTACTTGCACCAGTCTTTAGCGCACCAAAAAAGTTCTCACAACAAGATACCGTTTCTCCCCGTTTTTATTTTATCCCCTTCATATAAATGAAACCCCCAATCTGTACATTATACAATAATATCGATGTACTGTGACCCCTAGCATTGTGGTCTCATGTGAGCGATGACTGCTTCACCAGCAGCACACTCCCCGTAGTCTAAGACAAAAGCAATGGTATTTGTTTTATTGATTACTATTACTGCAGTTAAGTGTGTAAACACCGCTCTTGGGGTGGAAGGTGCATTCCTGATTGTAGACATGGATATAGACATGTAAGGGGCACAGAAAAGGACTGCTATCATTTTCTCACCATGAATCATACCTTCAGACAGTCACACTCACTGCTACAGACGGCGCTTCTCCTTCCATCTGTGTTTACGTCATAGAGCTGATTAAAACATGGTTCACACCTAAGCGGCATCATTTGTGCACGTTTGTAAGTGCAGGTTCAGCGTGCGGTTATTGGCACAGTTTTACGTGCGGTAAAACGAGAGGACATGAAGACGTATGAAACACAGCTTAAGAAACATTGTGGTCAATGGATAAACTCGCGTACAAACACACATAAACGCGCACGAAAAATGTGCAACATGCTTCTGCCGCGCGTTTTCTGGCGTTTCCATTAAAGTCTATTGGGGAAAAACAAGCATGAAACTTCCATAAGAAGCACGTGTACCTTTTTCTGCGTTTTGTGTTTTCCTGCTGGCGTTTTGCTGCTCAGGTGTCAACAGGGGCCATTGAAAATCATGGGATTTCTTCTTTTGGGCGTTTAAAAGCGCTTGCCAACTGCTCAAAAATGCCGAGGTGTGAACCTGGCCTTACACATCTTAAGCTTGAGCCTCATTCCATGTCATGTTATACAATGTTTTCTAACAAGTGTTACCTTTTACCAGATTTTTTAAACTGTTTTATTATTTGTATGGTGTGTAGACATTACTCAACCATCAAGCATTATAAAAGTAATTTCAAGAAAATAAAAAAGACAGAATTATTAAACAGCCTACACAGATCATTTTGTAGCAAATTGTAGCAAATTGTATAAACAATAATGTTCATTAACGGAAAAAGAACCTGAATTCTTACATTTAGCAACTACTGGGACTATTTTGTTGATATTTACATCAACGAAACACGTTTTGTAGCTACTGATTGGAGCTAAAGAAATAAAAAACGCACTGCACTATAAATCTGTACTAATAAATAATTATACACAAAAATGTGCAAATATATTGTGCTAGTGTTCTTCAAAGGTGCTTTAAAACCAGCCCTTATCCAATATGTCCACCCATTGAGTGCTCCTTTCAAGTTAAACGAACTCACCGAATAAGGTGGGCAAAATTATATTGGTCAAAATACTCTTTGTATTCCCACAAATATCCTTCATTGCTCCTTCGCTTTATGGATCTCTTTTTTAAAATAAATTAATAAATGGTTCATTAAAGGAGAATTATGAGGCAAGTGATTTTCACTCAGCCTCATAATCTGAGCCGACCTGTGACAATGAAACTGTCAGAGGTCGGCTCAGTAGATCGGGAAGTGAGCAAACACATACCGTCGCTCGCTCACTTCTCGATCTATCCGTGCAGAGAGCCGTGACTGTCACTAACGGCTCCCTGC